TGCACAACAGTTCTCAACCGCCTTGAGTACGCATCCGGTTCCGAATTCATGAAAAAGGGGCCCGTGTATAGACCATCAATAGCAGCCTTCATCAGGCTAGAAAATTTTCCGCCGACACGGAATGCATGTCGTTTCTGTTCGTTGATTGTGTCTCTAGAGGGGCCCAATCGCAACAGCTGCTTCTCAGTATCTTTGATGGTCTCCCTAACCTCTTCAATGATCCCTGGCAACTTGCTCACTGTTTGGTAGTAGAGTACTCTACTGAGCCGGACCCGTAAGGCAGGAACCCCGCAGTGCGAGCAGTTGCGCCAGACACCCTCTGCGAAGAAATTTTCTTCGGCCTGGTCACGCTTAGTAGCCGATTCTTTGCCGTCTGCATAATCTTGATTGCATATTACATGCCAGCCGAGCGGGAAATCAGCGGTATTCTGGGTGAGCTCCGCGTAGAAATGCTCGCTTTCGGAGCCCACATCTAGAGCATCGGGTTTGGTGATAATTCCAAGCGTCCGAGTTCCACGAGGATCGAAGTGCCGGGCATACCGAGTGATCTGTTGAAGTGCAAAACTGTTTTCGGCAGATATCACCGCTAGTATGACATTTTGTTTTTGGCTCATATAGTCTAGCATAAGATCCCTAACACCCTTGATGTATTGCTCGGAATGGTCCTGGTTCCCAGCAGGGAGCAATCCGGGAAGATCGACCAGCGTCAGATGAGGTTGTGTTGGGCCTGTTACCTCAATGCGAAGAACATCAGGGCAGAAGGTTGTCTCAGCCGTAACCGTACTCAAAATTTGCGTAGCATCTTCCAGTGGACGGCGGATATCGAGGTAATTTTGATACCGGTAAAAGGCAGATAGCGTTCGTTGTTGTGGCTCCGATCGGTCGGACGCAGGCAGAATCGTCGTGGTGACGCCGACATCTTGGCCGCGCTGGAAGACTAACTCGGTGGCAAATCGTGTACTGCCAGGTAGATCCAGGCCAGTGATGCCACGTATAAGAGAACTCTTACCACAAGATTGGTCACCGCAGACAATTATTCGAGGAGTGTCGACGAGACATTTGAACCCCTGCGAGCGCAGCTCATCGAGTGTTTCTAGAACCCCATGATGCTCCGAGCTCCATAGCACAGAGTCGTCGCTCATGGGCGGACTGCCTTGCCTGACTGTGCTCATGTTAGAGTCGTTTTGGTCTTGATGCCGGGAGTGAGTATCTTTGTATTCCAAGGGCTTTTGGAGGCGTAACCATATACGAGCAACCAAACACGGAGGGCTTATATTCAGGTTGGAATGATGATTGTGCGGCACATAGAGTAAGCTGTATACGGAGGGACATTCAGTGATGAAGAGGTTGGTCAAGAAAGCAGTTTTCTGGAACCCAGCGGCGTTGAAATTTAATCATAGGAGCCCATTTGCGTAAAAATGGGCAGGTTCCTCTCCCAAAGGTGCAAGAGGAAAGTGTGATGAATTATTGGGAGAACAAGAGGAAGGATAGGCCATATTAGGGGGAATTACAACTTCGGCAGGCTGCTTCTTATTAAGTAGGTAGCGATGAAAGTGGTCGTTACTAGGCATACTTTCCTCTCCGTAGACTTTTCCGACGGAGGTGTGGGGAGAGGTCCGGCTAAGTCTCGTTAATTCAGATGAGCCTGCCTCCTAAATTATATCTACCTACATGTATTTCATAGCAGGGCCGGATGGCTCCTTTTATAGACATCCAGAAGCTACCTACTTAGTCAACCCAATTCCAGTGCTACCTCGCACCAAGAAGGTGATATCATCTGGTTCGACCGTATCTAATACCCTTATCATATCCAGTATACCGTGACAAATTTCTGTAAAGCAAGAATAATAAGGTTTTGGGCTGACTATGTCGCTTTGAACCATACGACGCTAACCACAGCTGCCCATGCTTTGCGCCCCGGCTTTAGCCTGGCATTTTCACCTTCTTACATTTTTAGGAGGCAAACCATATTCGAACAATCGTATCAGTATTACTGTCTATCATTATATACATGGTATGCGAAGAGAAAGTATAATGTTTCTTTTTACTTCATGAAAAAGATAAGAATGAACATAAAGCCTGGACAACCAATAATGAGATAGGATTATCAGATCTGTTGCTCCGGGCGCGGCCTAATAGAAGCACACCCACCGCATCAGTACATATGTAATATATCTCTAATCCTGCTGTACTTCCACTATCTACTACATGAAGATTATTTAATGCACTCAATACCCGGACTTATTCGTTACCTACCTCATACTAGGCACGTACCTACATATATACAACGAGCAGGAGGCAGATACGCACAAACAATGCAAACCAAATAACGGTGTTTAGCCCGAAATGTTTTCCCACTTAGTTGTAGCAGCATATACTCATGCGTAAATTTCCCATTCTCATTATTAAATATTGTTCTTTTACCTAACTATGTTCTCGTGATCATGTATCACAGTGGTTTTCTTTAACCTTAGACTATGTACATTTTTATACAAAAGGCTCATAGGCTTATCGGACATTTAAGACATAGGCATATTCAGCGTGATAAAAAAACCCGGGTTTTTGTTTGTTGCATTACTTGTATTATTACTATTATATGATGGCGAATTTATACAACTGATCTAGTCCTATTCGATAGGGGATACCTAACCGTCATGCTCCTTTCCAACACTTATGTTGTCGTAGAAATGATCGATCCAGCTGATTCCCCGAGACTGATCTGCGGGCAGGAGCCCTTCTTCAGTCGACCGCACTTATCGAATGTTCATTACATTCATACCGAACGTGAATAGTCCGCGTGAGACCTCTGCTACATCTCATTAGACGTCAATCAGTCGTTTCCAGCACCGACCGCATGGAAAAGCTAGATACAGGACCATAGCCGCCAGTATTGGTTGTACTACTGCAGCCTGTGTCCTAGCCAAGTTCCTATCTGAACCCCACCTATTCGTGACAAAATCCCGAAATCCGGTATGCTGGGGCCCTTAATAAGTGATACGAGAGAGTCGGGGCGTTCAATGTTGTACGTTGGCGGTTCATTAGCGCATAGCGCAAGAAGGGTGTGATTGCAGGCGACCAATAGCACTGCCGTCGTGGACAGATCTGTCCAAAAGTCTATATCGTGGGGATAAAACGAACGGCGGAAAGACCCCGAGTTATGGGGCACTGTGAAGCCTATGGTAGCTGCCGAGCTCAACTCGGATCGAAGTTAGGTATAAAGCGCGCGGAGGAGTGATAAGTAGACTCCAGCCAGCATTTTAAGTATAGCGTGACTGGTATTAAAAGATATCGGGTCACTTTAAATTGGAGTGTAGGCTGCCTAGAAATTTCTGGTTGTCTGGCAGTTCGCGATAAAATATTGCGTCGTCACCGGGCTCGTGTACGGGCCGTGTCTTGGGCGGGAACTCGTGGACAGGGACGGGCTGTCGATTGTTTGGATGGCTCGGAGGGTACAATGAGTTGTGTATTATTTCTGCAGTCGCGGGGTCCCGAATGTTGTGATCGCCAATGTTGTGTTGACGTAGCGCCTTTACAATCAGTTCGACTTGGGCGGTGGCATGATGTCGATGTGTATCTACACAAGCAATCACGAAGAGAATGAATCGATCGGCGCTATTCTGTCGCATTAGTATCGCAAGTATCGCAACATGGCTAACCGACCGCGGCCACTCACGTGAAGAGTCCCAGGAATGCTATCAAGGCGGCCTTAAGGGGTCCCACAGCCCTAGGAAATGTAGAGTCGTAATACCATGTAGTCGATATATCAACCGAGGGCGATATGAAGGAGAAGGCCACTAAATTCCCGCCGAGTATAACAAGCTCTCCGGCTATGTGACAACCCGGGTGAAGGCCAGGGTTTCGTTTCCAGACGATGCTGGATGCTAGCTCAGCGCAGTCGAGGCCAGTGCTGACGATAATCTAGACAGATAAAGTGAGTCCGTGCAGCCGAGCGCAGAGAACGGCAACATACAATGGGGAGAATAAACCACCAGTCGGGGGTAGGATACGAATTATAGCCAGACCATTCGGAGACGAGAAGGGCATCGGGGACAGATACGCCAACTAGGGCGAAACCCAGTACCAAGCTAATAGATCGCAATACGAGCTTTGTTATATTCCATCGTCCCTGGTGGTAGGACCACAACCCGCCTTTGTTCGCCATCGGAGAAGTGCGAGAAGACAGTTGTGAAGGAGAAGAGCGCGGTAAGTTGGAGACAAGAATCAAGGATCAGTGAGAAGTGGATTGGATCCTGGAAGGGGGAAGATAAAACTACACTAGTTTGTCCGCGGAGAATGAAATTGGCTAACCATATACGTCGCAACGCCAAGAGTACGATCACTCACCCACGATTTGTGAAGGGGTTTGATGCAACTATACAAAGTAGCAGTATTAACTTAGGTATCTAGTTAGTATAGGTAGGTAGTACCCATATGCTCGACATCATGTTATTAATAGGTAGAGGTGCTTGGAGGCGCTTTGGACACATTGATGCGGCGCAGACGATGCATTTGCAAAAAGGGCTGAAGATCTCTAAATCCAACTCGGAGCAGTTTCGCGTCGACGACCCAATAGGCAGACGCGGGTAGTGTGAAAGTACCTGACTCTGGCAGAAATAGATTGATCCACACTCGTGCAGGGAGCTAATCAAAGCTTGCAGTGATGCCCAGGAACACGGGTAAGTCGGACAAGCTAAGTAACTAGATGATTGGCTGACGTACGTAAGGTACTTACATACTACATACGCATGTCTAAGTTGTGAGGCTGGACGTGGGATTGTTGCCGTGTTTTAGAATGTAGATATAAGGTATAACTCGACCACTGGAGGAAAACAGTGCAATTAGGTAGCAGGTACGTAGATATAAAACCCATGGAGATCTATAGGCTATACAGACCACACAAGCATCTTGCAGAAGTTGTTTGAGGCACTATGGAAGGAAGTACAACATGTATAAAATAACTAAAAAGTACTTGTAAAAATACCTAACAACCCAAAAATGGTGGGTCTGGCCGGGGATTGAACCCGGGACCTCTCGCATATGAGCTGTAGGGTGTACCCTAAGCGAGAATCATACCACTAGACCACCAGACCACAATGCGCGGTTACCCAGGGGCGATTACCTAAGCACATAATGTGTAACTGCCTTCATTCCAGGTTATACAACAAACATATAGCATCTGAACTTTACCAGCAAAACTTTGTATACAGGAAAAAAACATATCCCAACTTTTCTACATCTTACAGTTCAGACTACTACATAGTATAGCGCTGATGAAGTTTGTGGCGGACAATATGATATATAACATTGTTGTGTGCAAGCCCTGTAAAGATGTATGTCACCTTACTAAGCACCCGTCTAACAGCCTCGATAGCACCAGCTATTCCTAGCCGTGTACTTGCGGCATCCACGCGTAAGAGCTGTCTGTGTATCGGAACCGCGGTTTCCGCCCATATACCGTCCCTATTCACGGATGATCGCACTACACTACGCCGCGCGCTCGATTTCGGGAATTGCGAACGGCTAGCTGGCTCGGCGCGAACAGAAGAACACCGACCGTCGAGTCCATGAAACAGAGAAAAAGAAAAGAGTATCAAAAGATAAAAAAATTAAATGAATATCGGGTTAGTGTTATATAGATGTAGTTATATATATCTATGGGGGCCTGACGGCGGGCTCGTATATCCCCGCGTTCGTATGGAGAGGGCATCGCGTTTACGGGCGTATTTGTCATGTCTGGACTGCCGGGTTTGAGGTATAGGCGACACTGGGTAGATAGGAGATCGAATTACATGAGGTACTGTTCGTCGACAATGCGTAAAGTGTGTCTGACGTGCTCAGTGTTACGACCCTGGACTTGCTAGAGAGTATATTGTAAACATGTCGGGGGTGTGGGAAGCCAAATTTTTTTTAATTTTTTTTTGCGAGGCTGGATGCTTCGTAAACGCCGTTCGAAGGCTACGGGCTAGTGCCTTTTAGATATTATATTGACGCTGCTGATGCTGTGAGACTCGTACTGCGGGTATGGATGTTACCTCACCTCGATCATTCAAGCCGGGGGATGAGGTTATACGGTTTCAATAATATCTATCAACCGAAAGGATAAAGGGTCTGGTACTTCTAACAAATGAGATCGTCAAGTAAAAGTGCCCCAAGAACGATAAGTAATTGTATTTACCGAATTAAGATATTAGGTAGGTAGGTAAACAGTTACAACTTCATGTATCGAACAGGGACTTGAATGCAAATGAGTTTGATCATTATCCAGCTTGGGAATTGTCAATCCCCATTTTGAGCGGCCACGCGATCCAAGTCGCTAAATCGGTTGGATATCTAATATAGTACAACGTTAAGTTTATGTTGAATCGCTCATTCTCAGCCATACAGATGAGGCTAGGCGGGGAGACAACCACGCTTACCTCAACTCTAACTGACTTCGAGCCACTCCGTAGGTATCAAAATAAGAACGCTATCACGAAAGACCTCGCCTTTAGCTCGTCGCAGTGTGTCGCGAAATTTCTCAAACGTCCCTTGAGTATCAACATATCGTGTGGTCGAAACGTGTACAAGGTCGTCTCAACACGTGTCTTAAAAATTATCAAACAAATGGTCGAACTGTTCGACCATCGACTCGCTATATGGATCTCTCTTGCCATCATCCTCGGGATATACGTCAAAACACTGCGCGTCGCCGGGATACCTTACGTTAGGTTGAATCGGTGGCCGAATCTGACGGTGATAGAGCGCCTCCCAGTCGATGCCATGGAAAAAGGGATGAGCTTTGACCTGTTGGGAACCACCACTAATGTTTCCCAAGCGTTTTGAGCGATCTATTGTGCAGAATGACCGAATGATGTGCTGCGCATTAGGAGAAACAGGCGGCTCTTGTGGGAAGAGGACCGGCTTCTCAATAATCCTAGAAGATGTTGGCGTGAGAGCTAGCGTGTAAGGCAGTCGAAGGGACCTACTGTTTATAGATTTCAATCGGGTTTTGGTGCCAGAATGGAGGGTATCCCGTGAGAAATTCGTATATCAGAATTCCCAATGCCCACCAATCAACTGCTGTGGTATGACCCTTGTTCTGGATCACCTCAGGCGCGAGGTACTCCGGAGTGCCACAGAGAGTATATGTTTCGACCGGCCGATCGTCTTTACTGCCCAATCTCTTAGCAAACCCGAAATCTACAAGCTTCACATGCCCATGGCCGTCTAGAAGCAGATTCTCAGGCTTGAGATCCCTGTATGCCACGCCACCTTGGTGTTCGTGTAAGAATTCGAGTACTAGGACGATTTCGGCGGCGTAAAATTGCGCCCACTCTTCTGGGAAGCGGCGATGCCTTCGGAGATAGCTGAAAAGTTCACCACCAGGTATATAATCGAGGAGCATATAAAGGGAGTCGTAATCAGAAAAGGTAGTAATCAGCCTCGTAATGAAGGGGTGGCCGGCGACATCGCTCAGAATTCGGCGCTCGTCTCGGACGTGGTCGATCTGCTTGAGCTTGATGACCTCGGTCTTTCGTAGGATCTTTAAGGCAAAAACTTGCTGCTTTTCTTCATCGGTTCCGACGGCTGGACGAACAAGACAGACTCGAGCAAAGGTACCTAGTGGGCGACACCGACGCCGTCTACGTGTGAGTGATGATGGACATTCTGTCTCACTAGCACCGACACCAAAACAGGATCAACACCAACTTCAACTGGTGCTAACAACACCAGCTAATCAGGGCCCGTAGCAGCAACCGGCGATGCAAAGCGCACCCGGCCTACATGGCACGGCCGCGAAAGAATATGAATGGTTGATTGATTGATTGATTGAAAGAAAGAATCAAAGAGCCATGTCGAATGATGACATACCGGTACCGAGAGTTCGGACAAGAGCAAAGTCACTCAATTTAACTCGCTGATGCTGCGGTGGTACTCCGGCCCCCGCATCCTCACTCGCTCGACTCTCTTGTTGCGAAACCCCGCCGGCAGCATCCATTGCCACCGCGATGGGGAGCGGGTCGGGGTGTCGTGCTATTCCTGGTATTGGATGCGGATTCGAGGCAACCGTTGCAGCCATATTTGATACGATGTCTTGTGGCGTTGTGGACGTGGTTTGACCTTATGCTGTTGGAGAGTCGGCATTGGGAGGCCCGGAACAGGCGCAATGGCAACACATCGAAGATCTGTCGCCGTAGGTATGCGGTGGAGGTAGACAGCTTGGGTTGATTACGCTATGCGGCTAATAGAGAGCATGGAGAATGGAGGGGGAGGAGAGGAAGAAGGCTGATGGGTTGAGGATGTTGAAGGGGTGTTAAATCCACATGGCAGGCGATGGAGTACTCTCTGACACTACCAACGCCGCACGACTGCTGCAATATGAATTTCACACTAGACTAGATAAGTACGGTAGATAGGTACAAGTCCCATACCGATATTAGTGTAACCTAGGTATTCTTGGTTAGTGTGCTGGTAAGCAGACATGCGACGTTGCGGTGCGGGCGACGGGTGGTTAGATTACGAGCAGTACTTGAGATCGAGTGCATCGCAGTGCATCGCAGTGCATCGCGTCAGCCATATTTAGAAATAATGATCTACCTACTGTAGGTCTAAGTACTTCAGGTACTGTAGTCACCTACATAGGTACATACCTAACATAGTAGTATGGGTGTCTGACGCCGAGTATTTGAATAGGGAGTCCTTCGTACCTTACTATAGCACCCCGGAAGAGCAGCAGTTGATATTATTCGTGAGAGTCTGCTTTATGCATATTGGGCTCAGGTGAAGTATGATGTAAGATTCATGTTACAATGCAGGCGCATCAAACTGAGAGTCCAGAGAATGTTGGATGATGTGGTTATTCCGATGGTTGAGGTTTCGATAACGTATACCTACCTACCTGGTACCTCTGGTAGGTAGTAGTGTATGTATATTACTTAGTGTATATGTGGATTGTTAGGCCGGGCCAGAGTGAGGAGGATGAAACTGCTACTTACGAACTTATGAGCAATGACGTACACACCCTGTACACACCCTGTACACACCCTGTACACACGAGGTACCATAGGAAATGCTGACTGGAACAAGTAATGACATGGAGGCGGCATTTATGGAGAAGAGTGGAGTAGGTGGGGACCCCATTCTAGATACTACCTACATGTATATAAGGGAAACGTGGGAGACATACAAAGTACGCGGTGGGTTGTATACTTCTTATATAGTCCTGCCTTGCCTGAGCTTATTGTCTATTACGAATGTCTAACGAGGGACTTTTTTTTAAGGACGTTTCGTGTTTCCTGAGCGTAGCTTGTATGAAATATAGTTTATATAACAACTATGCAAAGCTGTATTGCCTGGGGTTGTTTGGCAAGTCGGATGGGAGGGAACTTATTCTCAATTTTATAACTGACATGTTGCTTGCACGGCGCAGATAGAGGGACAGGTCGTGATTTACATGTAGGATGTACTACGTATCTGTATCATATTACATGTAATAGCCATACCTCTGCTTACTTACATAGTTACATATCCTAATCATACCTAGTAGACACCTCATTAAGGCTATGGGAGGCAAGTAGTTGTATCTCACTCCCGGCTGTTTCTATAAAATGGGGAGAAGAGATAGTACATGTGTAACCAAACAAGGCCATAGTGTGACTAGTTCTACAATTGAGGTTATCTCCTATATTTCTATTGCATCATAAGCTCTGCGTAGTGGTATGATCCACACCTAGCCACGGCTTAGAAGAACAATTCCCTACTAATGTAATATGTTTGGTTCTTGCTATTTTCCTCATCTCATTTTGAAAAAAAAGGAAAGTATATGTAGATGCTTAGCTACCTTTATCTACTATGCACATACACTTAGTACTTCGAACCTCACTTAATTAAAAGATGTTGCAAAGTAACTCCAAGTAACAAATTACCTAGCCATTTTCAGGCTCCTAGAGCTGAGTCATCACATTCAGGGGAGCTTGCCTGCTATTCGTGCATCGTTAATGTACACAGGTACTTACAGTACTTCTATGGCCTACCTTACCTTAGGTATGTACTGAGGTATTTGCCGCTAACCCATGTTAGTATTAGAGGTAAATACGGCTGCTACCTACTG